CCCCGCAAAAAAAAAGAAAAAAGAAAAAAAATCCCAAAAGCAATAAGAACAAAATAGTTCACCACAGGCTCTAGAATTGATAAATCAAAACTCAAGCTGCATGATGATGGGAACGTCCTATCTGTTGTCATATTAGAAATTTGGAACTCTATATTGTGTTAGTTTACATTCAAAATATATTGATACTGGAGGAAGAACAATGCTGAGAATGTCCTAGCCCCCAAGATGCTAGAATGAACAACCTACAAGGAAAATATGATTTTATGCTTCTACAAACAGCTAAGTTAAGCTTGAATTTGGCCAGAGTAACATTGTATAGACAGAATAGAACTCATAGAAGCATATCACATATAGGAACTAGCGAGGCAAGAAAAACAACTTATTGTTGACTCCTTGCACAAATAAAAAGTGCTTACCTCAAGACAAACAAAAGATGATGGTGCACAGCTGCATACTACAGCAGAAAGATACAAATATTGCTGGCATATGATGCATGTAGGATCCTTCGAAGAAGATACGGTGAAATTTGTCAATACACTTCAGAACACACTCATAGTCAAAAAATCAAGAAGCAACATCAAAGTTAAAGTACCTCCTCCGTGCCCACATATTCAGGCTTCAGACGAGGCCGCATGGCAGAAGAATTAACAATGCCATTTTTCCAAAGCCGCTCTCTCCAAGACTTTTCTCTAGAATAGACCCTGGCCAGTTCTGTTTTTAAGTAAGGTGCTGCCTTGCTGTCAAATTCACTCTGCAAGGTGATGAAAATTGTTAAATTGGGATGACTAAATTTAAAGGTAAATAGAAGCATGGGAAAGTTATCTACAAAAATACCAAGCAATGAAAGTATGACAACAATAGTTCTTCAGAAGAAGCATCAATTAGCATAAGTTTGGTCAGAAACTTAGAAAATACTGTAGGCAGAGCAGTCCAACAGCTACTTCAAAAAATTTAGTGCACCAATAGGTAATCCCAACCACAGAAAGCATGTAAAGAGCCAGCTTTTACATCCATGGGCAAAGAACGAATAAAGAAAGCATTGGCCACAGCAGGCCATGGAAAATGGCGAATGGGACTAGGATACAGACCCTGGCTACTGCACAGAGCAGTTCTTCATGAGACAAAACAGCAGGTTTGCGATAAAGCTGGTAAAGATCTGCTCCAAATCCACCATGAGGTAACCAGTCGGCAGGGGCAAAATTGACAGCCTCAGCACAATTTAAGCCTGCAATTCCAAGATGCAGGTAAGATTACAGGAGAGAGCTGCATCATGCATGACTAGCATTTGAATAAGAACGAACTCTTCGAACTTTTTGCAAACCAAAGATAAAATAGCAAAAATGCATGGCTCACCGAAGTTGAAGCCTCCGTGATACGATCTGGGAAAGGTAATAATGAAGTCCCCAGGCTCCTGCCATAAAGTAAAAACAAGCAAACACAAGCCACATAAATGAAAAGCGGAAAATGAGAAAAGCTTTAAAACAGGTTCCTCTCTACACTGGAAAGTCTGTCATGAAGGGGATATTGCTAAGTACTGTTAAGGGGATATTGCTCATTGAGTTACAGCTTGCTACTAAAGCCAAATAAAAATATATATTTATAATTTGTTGAATATCTTTGGTCATTAGATTGCGAGCTTCTTCAGAATTATCATTATTTTCTACACAGTATACTCCATTGTCCGAAATCCCCAATCCTACTTTGCTTAATATTAGGAATTTAAGTTTTCTCCGCATTTTTGTTTAATAGCCGAGAAGTCCCTAAGGGCCAATGGCAAACGGTTCCAAACTCGAAGGATAACAGGCCCGCCCCTCTACCCTTCTCCACTTAAATCCAATTCCATGCTTTTGTCTATAGCAAGGTTCGAACTCATGACGTGCGCCTAACCATACATCACACCCTGCGCTCTTACCACTAGATCAAAGCTCTGGGGGCACATTTCTCCCACATATTAGTACTATAGACAGGAAAAGGAAAAGGCCTCGTGTTGCTTAAATTCTTCAAGTAATCTCTGGTCCCAAATGCATGACCATGGTAAAGAATTAGGCCCCTGCAATATAGATCATTTAATTTGCATCCTTGTTGTATAACATAAAGTTTAGGCAGCCCCAAGGCTCACGAAATTCTAATGGGTTTGAGAGAAAACATATACCTTTGATAATGAAGCTTGGAGGCCAAATGACAAAATACAAAACTAAAAGAAGAGAAGAAGTGTGGAAGAATTTTACCAATAACATGGAGGACAAAATATAAAGAGAAAACAAGTTTCAAAGGATGATGCCAAAAATCGTTCTGAAACATATATTAAACGTAACGTGTAGTGAAGAAGTAAAGACAAAATGCCAGCTGTTTATCAGCTGCTTATCGCTCACCGTTTTTACAATCATCGGATTCTATCCAACTACAGAGATTCAGAATACCAGCAGACTCCTGAAAGCTCACCCTACCTTTGACATGTAGCCTTAGAAAGAGATATTGTTAAGTCAAACTATTTTTCAATGTGTTTTGCGTGATACCCCTCATAAATCCTGATTTTTTACTGCATCTGTTGTGGGCGGCATATGAGTGCTGACACGCTTATTTTTTTATTTTCCTAATTTATACATTTGGGCTACGGAAAAATAATAGTATCCTCCATCAATATCAAAACATACTGAATGTGAATCAAACAGCCAATAGTAGTTTAAAGGACCCCTTAAACACCAATATGCAACGACATACAACTGGCATAATCAATACTTCAGGCACCGAACAAAACATCCTGCCGAATCTTAGGGACCATAAAATATCTGTATTCTCTATTTATTCCTACAGGTTTTATATTCAATAGAAGTACCATTTTCAATTGAATTGGAAAAACTGTTTTCCTAGTTTCTCAACTAAAACTTAAGCTAAAATATCTATAGAAAGAAAATCCTCCTATCTCCTGGCCATATAATAGTTGAACATAAGTTTGGAAGCGGAAAAAAAAAGGTTTGGCTCCACAAAACAGTAAAAATTCTTATGTAAAGCTCTCCCTTTTTTTTCACTCTCCGGACAGTTTCTCCTTATTTTCATGCTCTTCTATTTACGAAGAAAAAGACGCAAATGCAGTATCATGACATCGTTCATGAATTTTGGCAGGAACTACCAGAAAACTACAAAGGAAAAAGACAGAGCAGGACACAAGGAGAAACATCTTAGTATTAAGTCCTGCAACAAACCTGTACTACATTATAAACAGGAACCCCATTTTCTTGCAACACACGTGGATTCAGCATGGTTACAAGCTGAAATAGCAGATCTGGTTGCGCATCAAACAGATCGGGAAGGCTATTACGCATTACCTGCACATAATTTGCTAGTTACAGGACAGTAAGAAAAGGTCGAAATTTTGAAATTTATGAGGGAAAGCTGCATGTAAAAATCATTTATAAACACTGATACAAGTTAATTGTCAACAGCAATCAAGTATTCCTTTATCACTTCTCAAGCAGCTAAAATAGGAAAATAACTAGCATCAATGCAATGTATCAAGGAACATGAAAAAGGTAATCTCTCTATGCCAAAACATAATGAAAGAATATGCAACAGCACTTCTAACACTAACTAGACACTAAACTAATACAGATAAGACACCACAACCAATGATATCCAAGCCCCTAACGAATAGGGATTATTTACATCTTCCAAAGCACCTCCTGGTAAAGCCCTGAATGTTGGTTACTCATGTTATTATATATAGCCATCGGTTACCTGTGGGTTTAGCAGGACTCCAGCTATCCTGTACATCTATCAAGTTAACATGCCAGAATAACCGGTCATGAACTCATTCATTTATACATGGAAGTACAAGGTAAAATAGATTATGATTTACTTCTCATATGAGATGATTCAAATCAATAAAACTGAAGAACTAAATAGTATGAAGAACTGAAGAACCAAATAGTATGAAGAACAAGAAAATTTCCCATGACCTTAAACTTGCCTCATTTCGGTTCAACCGTCTCCATAAAACCATTTTAAGACGAAGGACAAAGCTCACATTAAACTAAAATCTCATGAAAGCCAACATTCAAATATCAAGAACTTGGATCAACATGTATTTGCATCAAATTTTATTCACAGTAGAAGAGATATGTTTTAACTTTACTAGCCAACAATTTGTAAATACTCAAAAGCAAAAGCTATGACACTAATGTAGGATAGGACGTGTTCAGAATAACCTTCTCAAAAGCTTGGGCTTCATTTCCAGGAACACTATACCAACATTTCGGCTCTCCCCTGAAAGGATGCAAGAAGAACTAATTAACTGATAAATTTATCAAGATTCAATCAATGATTATCAGGATAATGGTCATGCACAAAATCAAAGACATCAAAACAATGATATCATGAGCTTAATCAACCTGATTGCAGAAAAGATATCAGCGGGAAATGTAAATGCACCGGTCCAATATGAAACTATGATAATTGGAAGTGTTAAAAAGGGACAAATTAGATCTAAAATCGCATATCAAAGCAATCGGGAAAGGCCTACAACCTCTTGAAATCCACATGGAGTTAGTTAGGTGTAGAACATAATGGAAAGTTGGAAACAATGTGTCCATACAGGAGATACCAACTAGTTAGAGACGAAGGTTTAGTCGTTGGTGATATCATTCAGTTGGTTATAGATTATATGCACAATATGGATTACCGTGAGAAAGAACCCCTAGTATTAGAGACCTAATTTGTCCTAAGAGACATGTGTTTTAAGAGGAACAAATGAAGCATAATGGTCATTGAGGTTTCACATAGCCGGACTCAACTATTTAGGGATTGAGGTGTAGTTGTTGTAATCAAGCTTCAATAACCAATTAACTATGAAATGCATGGAGAGACAGAAGAGAAAAAGGAAGCTCCACTCAGTTGCAAGGAAGTGGTCACATCGCCACAGATATAAGCCACGGGTACTTCATGGTGCATGTTAGGCAATTGTAAAGGGCGTTCACTGATAAACAGAACTTACTTATGAAGAAATAGTTAACAGAAAGNGGGGGTAGATTGGTTATTGGGTGATGAAAAAAGGATATGAAGCCAATGGACAATCTAATAGATGCACCAACATTTTAAAGGAGTAATTTCGAATATGTATTCTCCTTGGACAGATAGGCTAGCTCCAAGTTAAGGAGTAGACTATGCTTTTCATAATTTAGGGACCACCTAATCTGGGCAAAAAATGAGATAAGCTTCATGCCGTTAGCCATTAGGTACTACATTTCAGCAGAAGAGAAGTCAAAGGAGGATACGCTAAACAAGTGAAGAAGCTACCGGCGAGCTAGCAACCTAAGCAAGACCATTAAATCATATCAGCCAAAAACAGTTGAACGGGACCTAGTGAAAGCACAACCTGTATATTGTAAAAACCCAATAAACGCTATGTGGATTCTACAAAGTTAATTTGTAGATTCGCACAGATTTACCAACATGCCAAATTTTTAACCTTATTAGGAAACGCATGTCACATCACATTAGGCAATAATGCAAAGAAATTAATATCAAGATCAGCTGTAATAAAGTATCTGCAAGAAGTTTCATAGCAACGCAACTAAAATAACTTACTTATCTTGTATTGCATACACATTTAAATAAGATGAAACTACTGGTTAGATAGAGGTCTCTGACATTTCTATGAGCAATTATAGGTTGTTTAATAAATCGAACTTATTGTTTTCATCAATAACAAACCTTTTAAAGTGGATCTTCTTCTACTTTTGGTATACTTCTTGTATACGGGAGTTCTCTCCCTTTTGATTAATATAATTTACCTTATCAAAAAAAAAAGTGGATCTTCTTCTTTTGTTTGTTTGGTATGAAATTTATTCTTTTTACTAACATGTTGACTATCAGCATAAATGAAAAAGAGCTTTTTGTATAAAGTAACTAATTCTTTTAATATTATACAAGCCGTACACAAAAAAAAAGTAGAGAAAAAACACAATAATATGGTTCTCATCTAATCAAACTTGTCATATGGTAACCTATTTCATAGGAATAAAAGAAATGGACTTAAAATACGAATAATAATTGGCACTCATACCAGTGAAGATAATTCATGGAGTAAAAGCAGTGGTCTTCAAAATGCCAGCAGAATGAAGAGAATAGCATTCCAATATACAGCCAAGGCACCATAACACCAGCAATGCTATGATGTACAGCTCGAAGCATCGAACCTGGCAACTTGGGTAAGTTATTGAGATTCCATGGGCTAGCACTATATTCATCCCATGTACCTTGTTCAACTGATGATAGTTTTTCGTCGGTTACACGTGGAAATCCACTACCATAGATGGAAGTATCCAAGTCACTGCCATACTTCACTTCAACCTCCCCAGCTGATCCCTCCACAATTTCCCAGAACTTCTTTTCTAATTCCGCTTGTGTAATAGATGCGGAGCCAAACCATTTTTTCCTGGCACGATCAGCAATGCGCCTAAATGCGTCCAATGTTAAGTCTCTACCGGGTGCAAAGCCGAAGCTATCCTTTTCAGAATTCAAGCATTGCAAGCAATACCAGTTCCCAGGTGGAATTTGTTTCAGAGGTGGTGATAAACAGTAAATATGCCACCCTTTATTGCACCGATCACAAAGAAGCATCACCTCCCCGTGCAATCCACTTTTGCACTGTTCACATATTTGATCGTGTTCTTCCTCCTTCGTCTTACACGTTTCAGTTAGATCACACTCACCATTCTTTCTCCTTCTCTTAGAACTCGAGAATTGGGAGTCTGACTCCCTTTTTCTCTCACTTCCATTTCCTCTCCTGTAACTTTTATTTCTCATCTTATTTAACTTATTATAGTACTCTTCATAATCACACAAATGTTCCAGGTACAACTGACATAATACATGCTTGGCGCACTCCGAAATCTTCCCAGCAGGCCGTACGAACCTAAAAACCTCTCCCCACTTCTTTTCCTTGGCTACTTTATCGTACCCTCCGAGCCGCTTGACGGAATTAAACAACTTACACAGATTAAGCTCCTCCCCCTCAAACACAACACGTTTCTTCGCCGCCTTCTTCCCGCAATGCTCCTCTAGGAACCTATAGTACTCTAATTCAAAGGTCTTCGGATCGCAAGATGCACACCGAGCCTGTAACTGATGAATCGCTTGCGTTTTCGTCGGAAATGTGAAGGCATTCAAATCCAATGCAAAAGGGGGTTTCCAACTCTTGGGTGGGATGATTTTACAAATGCCATATTTCTCAGCCTCTGGCCTGATCTTGTAAATAAACTCTAAAGGGTCCTTAAATTCTTCCTCAGTTGGATAATACACTGGCCCAGGTGGTATATTCAATAACCCAATTGGGGATGCACTTGTATTTTGCCCTAATTCTACAGCCCTAGGCCTCCCTCGCCCCATTATTAATGCAAGTACTAACTATATCGTCCAGATAATCAATACCCAATTACAAAATCTGCATGCAAGATTCATATAAACATTCAAAATATGTCTCAAATCACTATAAATTCTAGAATCTTGAAATTTAAAGGAACATTTTAACTATTAAAAATGAAATCTTTAACGTACCTTTGTGGAATAATAAAGGACATAAAAACCAAGGCTTGATAGATTCTTGTCCCTCAATATATGTCTGCAAACATGTGTGTGTTTTTTGTGTTTAGATATCTCTTCTTTGGTTTTTAGTTGTAAAAGAAACGGTGTTTCTCGTTAGTCTTCTTTTAGCTTTTTTCTTTTTCTTTTTTCCTTTTTCTTTTTCTTCTCTTTTTTAAAGGTTAGTTCGTTTGCAGGTTTAATGAGAACTGAGATTTTATATAAAAAGGTCTCTAAACCAGAAAATTTACGACAATGTTAAGGAATCTCTTGGATTTGAGGAATCTAAAGCGCGTGTGATGTCACGTGATTTGATTGTGCGGAATAACGCTAGTGTAAAAATCTTATCGTTATCACATATTTATCTCCTAAGTACATCTCGAATAGTGCATTATTTTTTGCACGAAATCCAAATTTAGTATTTTTTTTACTCCAATAGAATATCAAATCTTGCACTATTATAGTGCGTGAATAGTAATTTGGTGCGACATTATTCATCAACGCCAAATTTGATTTATTATTATTTCATCTTTTTATTTTTTTGGACTTTTAATTTATCATATATTATATATATAATTAATTATATTAAGATCTTTATAATTTAAATTTTATATCATATTCTTTTGATATACTAATTTTTTGTATATATTATATTTATATAAAATTATAAGTTAATTTTATTATTATTATAATTGTATAAAGAGAAATATAACCATTATTTAAAATGAAAAATGCAAATGCAAGATAACTAATGTTGCTAATGATGGAATTATATATGATGAATATGGAAAAAAGGTAGAATTTGTTTGAAGGAAATAAAAAATGAAATTTAAATAGAAGATAATAATATAATATAAAAGAGAGAGAAGAAATATTCTTTTTTGGTGTAAAAAATGGTGCAATGGTTGGAGTAAATTTAGTGTTACACCATTTTGGTGTGAAATTTAATGTTAGGGTCGGAGATGGTCTAAGTATAATTAAGCGATATGGTCTACATGGTTCAATTTAAATTATTTAATTATAAAATGCCTAATAATTATGTTAATTTGCTAAATTACTAACCTAAAGCAAGCCATTATAAGTTTATAACATTGATCTGTTGCCATTTTTAATTTTTTTTTTTGTTCCTCAATCATGTTAATATATCAATGTAGACATTATCTATACATTTAAATTGAAACCATTTTCTCACATTGGATGTAGTTGAATTAAGTTAATCGTTTAATATTTCTCGCTAAATTATTCTATGTCAACATAAAGATAAAGCGATGTATCTTATTTTTCTTTTAAATATTAAACTATATCACCTTTTTATTTCCATCTTGGTAATCTACTAATTCTAATAGTTTGTTATACACGATTCAATCCAAATTATCTACGATTCAAGTCATTTGTATAAACATAAATAAAATATGTTTTTAACTTAATTTTCACTATTAAAATCAAGATTATTATGAAGTTGCTCACACCCTGGAGAATAACATAATTACTAATGTGATGTAATGTAAACGTAGGTTAGTCAAACTTCTAAGAGCGCTTTAGTGGTTTCTTAGTTTGAGCACATATATTTTTTTTTCATTTACAATAAGTTATTAATGATTTATATCTTTAATTGTTACATACATTATTTTGCATAAATAATTAGTAAAAATACTATTGATCACATTTTCGATTCATGTCGTTTTACGTATATAACTTTTTTTTAGTTATAATCAGTATAACTTTTTTCTATATATAATTTATATGTTTAGTTCGATTTCCGTTTTAATTTTTTGTTAACCACCAAATAAAATCAAATATTACTTCATTTTTCATCACCACTTGTTCAAGTCAAGTCAAAACCACAAATTGATCATTTGTTGGTTTGTAGTCTACCCTTAAGTCAATGGGACAAGATTTTGGCGTGTCAACACGCTCTTGATAGGTGCGTGTAGTAGTTATGATTGCAGTGTAATTGTGGAAACTGTCTAGGGCTTTTCGCTGATTGGCCCGTGGTTTTCTTGACCTAGAAGGAAAACAGTGGGCTAATAAAAATCAAGTTTCTCTGGAATGTGACCCGGCCCATATGAAGTTTCTAGACTTATGAGCCCTTTTGGGCCCAAGCATATGCACTGACTGCAGTTCCATCAAGTTCTGAACTATATGCATCCACTGGCTGTGGGAAACCATTCAACAACATTTTTTATAATCCACGTCAGCTTGCGTACATCTCGATTGATAATATTGTCCATCAAACAGAGGCGAATTCAAAATTTAAATTTAAATGAGTTTAACTTTTAAGATTTTTAGCATTAAACTCAATGTACTGTTAAAATTATGGGTTCATTTATAAGATTTGTTGAGATTTTAGTAACATCAACAACAAAAAACCCAATACAATCCACAAATGGGATATGGGGAAGGTAATGTGTATGCAGTCCTTACCTTTAAAAAAGATAGAGAGATATTTTCAGTAGACCCTCGGCCCTGAGATTTTGCTAAGGTTTTACATATTTATCTATACTCTGTGTCGATTGTTATAGGTTCAGATGTATCCGTAGCCGGCAGAATACATCCACCCCTACCATCAAGACAGATGAAAAGAAATCACATAGTATTATGGCCTCCTATGGCATTTGAACCATTGTTCTTAATGCACTACATTGACCACAAAACTACACATTAGGGTGCACCATTCAATGACATTATGCAACTTTCAATCAGAACCTGAAGCAGTATTTTGCAGCCTCTGCTTTATTTTGTCTCTTGTATATCACATATAGTGATTGTTTATTTGAAGAGGGGTCATCTTTTCAAGAATTTAACTCAGAAATGCTCGCCGGTGTATGTGTGTGTGCGCGCGCTGTGTGGGAGAGCGAGAGAGAGAGAGAGAGGGAGAGCCTAAGCAAAAACAAGTAATGCTGGTGATTGTGGTCAGCCAAAGTTCATTTATTTCATTTTGCATGGCTATGTTACTCTTCTGGGAAAAACGTATGTCCCAGTGTATAAAAATGCTATTTGGAAGCAGATTGATAAGATCCAAGGTGAGAGCTACATATGACGTTTCATGCCATATGATACATGTAACAGATCTTAATCTAGCTAGATTATTTGTCTCATCATAGACAAAATTCGCAGATATAACTCTCAAAAAGAAATTGAGAAATCATTTACAACATAGGAAATGACTGGATTGAAATGCACTCTCAAATAACTTCAGTAGAGAAGCTCCTCAAAGACTGGATCCACGCTTCGTCCCCACTTCCCATGGTACAATTCCAGGAGCTTCTCAGCTGGTGTTACACCTATTAGTAGTAAATGATACATGTCAAGTACAGCGAACAGTTCGATTAGAATTCCAAATAAAGAAAGTAGTATCATTTTGACATTGTGTTGTATCCAGAGAACAAGCAAAGAGATACTAACACAAGTTCAAAAGGATAATGTCTCAACTAGATTAAGTTGTTAAAGAAGTTACTTACCTGTTCTGACTACCTCGGTTACTTCGTTCAAAAATCCTGTTTCCTTATAGCCTCTTCTCTCCAAGCCTTCCTGAAGATCAGAAATCAATTAATAAGTTAGTAAACATGTAGATATATGGCGAGCAGTGGAACATTAGAAGCTTTAACCCCACCTTTGCCAACTTGACAACATCTTGAGCAACATGCTTAAGCAATCCATCTCGAAATGGTGTCTTCAAACCGCTGGTTGGCACCTACCAAAACGGGTGATATTAATCATCTCTAATACTCTGTATAAGTTCTTAAACGACATATTCTGAAGAACTGCAAATTATAACTTGATGAAAAACAAATGTGTGCTTTTCAGATGAAGAGTCCATGATACATTACCCCTCTTTGTTTTCGAATGATTTTGCTTGTCCAAATGTTCATGCTTGAGAAAAGAGAGAACTGTAATAGGATATATTACCTTATTCCTCAACATCTCTCTTTCTTCTGCAGTCCAATCAGACGTCATATCCAAAACGGTTTGCAAAGACACCTCATCGTAGAGTATACCCACCTTGAAATTAAACCAAAAAAAAGATTAACTAAGCTATCGGGCTCAAAGTAGCCCATAAGAAACGTTGAACAGTCCCAACAAACAGGAGAAGTTCCTCTCAGTGCGAGGGGAGGTGAGCACAACCAGAGGCAGATCTGGGATTTCAACTTTATGGGCTCTTGATTTAGAACGACAACTTCAAGTGCTAATAATGGGGTTCTAAATTTAATATTTGTACATATTTAATGAAATTTTTAACATAAATATAGTATTTGAGCAAAACCTATTGGGTTCAGCCGAACCCATATACGAACTTCTAGCTCCGCCCTGAGCACAACCATATCTTATTCTCCCTTTCTCCGTTATTTTCCCATTGTTGGAAGTGGATGCGGTTAGGCAAACCCTTGCTGCAACTACTATTGTTTCTATCTCTAAGGTCACAATATAATACTAGCTTTCATTCTTTTCTTTCTTGTTTTTTCCAAAAATCAACATCATGATCCCTAGAGAAACAGATTTCATACCCAGAATGCAGGCAATGCACACAACCTTCTCCAAGGTCCTCCATCGGCACCTCGCATTTCCAGATATCTTTTGAGTCTCACCTGATAAAGTTAACCCAAGTTAATATTTTCATAAACTATACATAGACAAACCAGCGGTAAGGACATTTTCTCGGATGAAGCTTGCACACCTCAGGAAATATTGTTGTGAGGTGATTCTCCCAATCATTAAGAGTAGGGTAGTCGCCGGGAATAGGGGAAAGTTTTCCATTCATGAAGTCCTGCAGCAACGTTGTTAAATAAGCACAAGCGAATGACATACAAATCTGTACTGTTCACAAAATAACTTACCCGGAAAGACATTCCAGCACAATCAATATACTTCTTCTTCCGATAGACAAAATACATAGGGACGTCAAGTGCATAATCCACATACTGCTCAAACCTGTGCCCATTAGAACAGAAAGTGTTTGCTTTGATAGTGAAGTCTAACCATGGAAGTTTTGGAGATGTCAAGGAATGAATTCATTAACATTAAATACAAATCTTCATTTGATTCCTAACACATCATGTAACCCTGCTGAACAGTTCTCAAAGCAGGTTCGGACAACACATTTCGAACTCCAATAAATTTAATCCATTTTCCTTACCCAGCTCGACTATATAACGTAGGACAAGGTCATTCATAGTGAAATACATTTAACAAAAGGACCATGGGCTTAAGAGTACAAGGGTAAACATGCTTTCTTCTGACAAATCAAGAAGCCTTTTGAAAGATGACTATCCCACAGCAGCCTTAGGTAACAACTAAGATGAATGCACAATTCCACCTAAAAATCATAATATGAAGGCATACATGCATTTACTGAACTCAATTCAGCATGTGAAAAAGTGAAGTCTATTGCTAGTAAACAGAAATGCCGCCTTCAAGTGGTCTCAAGAACAAAATAGTTGTGCACCAGCACAACATACGAGATTAAATTTACAAGGCTCTTTTGCAAGAGGTCTCTGACCTCCATACAGTGCTATATTCTTAAACTTCAGGGCCACTGCTAGGAGAAGGTGTCAAACATTTTTACATGATTACCAGCTGAGAGGTTAATTTTTATTAAGTCATTACCTGTTCGCGCTTTTACTTCTTAGAACTCTCAAAAACTAATAGTAGAAATCATGAGGCAGCTTAAAATTTGAGGCAATCCATTGAAAGAAACATTTATAATCGGAACTGACCATTCAAATGCATCGGAACGTAGAAGTATAAGTTGAATTAACTTTTTTTACAAGTCAAAAGGTTGAATTACTTTTTTTTTAAAAGACAAGGGATTCATCTTAAAAATACTAAAAGAGAAAGGAAATGTTAATATGGTTCCTAATGCCCCTACAAGTTGCACTCCTACTCTATCAAAAAAAATAATCTCGACTGAAGACAGAAAGTAATATGTCATGACTCAAGAAACTTTAAGTATTTGAAGAGAAACTTACCCAAAAGAGTCATCAAAGACGAAGGGAAGCATCCCGGCACGGTTATTATCTGTATCGGTCCAAATGTGGCTGGTGAAACAAACAAAGATTTGTTATGTACAAGTCTGATTATATTCCTCAGAGCAACAAGAACAGTATTTTAATACACATACCTTCTCATGCTGAGATAACCATTAGGTTTTCCTTCAGTGAAAGGTGAATTAGCAAAGAGAGCTGTAGCAATCTGTTTCATTAAATAGTTTAATTAAAGTAACTACATAACTTCCATGTAGAAAGAGAAAGGACAAAGGTTCCATACAGGCTGCAAGGCAAGACCAGCACGAAACTTTCTGATCATGTCAGCTTCAGAACTGAAGTCCAGATTTACCTGTTCAACAACAAATTCATAGATACCGGTTCAGCTTACAAATGTATGTTACCATGCAGGGCATGCGCAAAAAGAAAAGAGTTAAAAATAGCTTTTGAATATTGCACAGTGGTACACAGTCCAATAGCCAAGGGGTAATGACATCCCATCAAAATGAAAAGAGCAAAAAAACGAAGAGAAAAATAGAACCATTTAGCATACCTGAACAGTGCATGTTCTAAACATCATATCTAGCCCAAGTGAGCCAACTTTGGGCATGTAATTTCTCATAATCTCGTATCTCCCCTGAGTCAAAGTGCTTTGTCAGTGAAAAAACCAGCTGATTGCAGATCTCAGTGGTCAAATTATACTTGAAAAAAGAAGCCATAACTAGATATATCTTTCAGAGCTAAAAGACCAGACACAAGACACATAGCATTGATGTGTGAGAAGCACAAGATGTTGTATAGAATATGAATAGCACTATTTTTTAAATTACAGCTGCAAATCAAAATAAAATATCATAGTTCTGGCTTTGTTAAAGTAAATAACTAAAGAAAACAGAACATAAAAGAAGCTAGTGGGGGAAGTCTAGTTGCATTTCTAAATTGTGAAGACTGTGCAGGATAAAATCGTAGGCAAGATCTCTTGATAATTTCCAATTATTGGAAAACACTTACTAGATCTGGTCCTGGAATCGGGTTTACTATTGAGTGCTTTGCTATTAATCTAAATTTGCCTAATGGAGATGACGATGAATGATCAGCTCAAATGGCACTAATTACAGTTTTACACCTTTATATACTTGTCCTCTGCAGCTTCTAAAGGATAAGATGTGGACAAGCAACATCTGAAACGTCAATCTGACTAAGTAATCATTGGAACAATATTTCATCTGTCTCTCCTGACCTCCTAGAGATATCAATGTTGATGAGATACTAGAAGACGTATTCCTCGTTTTCATAATTAGAAGGAGGCGCAAAAAAGAGATCTCTCTTCAAATTGCAATAGAAACAGGCTTCTACTGCACTTGACATGCTGAACAAATGTGAAATGGTCATGTACAAACTTGTGAACATCTTTTCACTGTTAAAGTAGCAGTCTCAAAGGGATAAGATGCTAGGGTACCAGCACGCTGGACAAATTTTTTGGTTACAACATAGATCAGAATATTGTTTTTA